TCTGGATATTATGAGACTCTGAATCCTATTTAATCTTTTTAAGATGTCCTCTTGTTGACTTGTACTATAAGGGCCATATGTTCAGCTTCTTGCTGGGTCCCACTGACACCACTCTGGCAGAAGTGAAGCACTGATTCCCACTGCCTCATTGAAGACAATAGGGTAGAAGTTTAACTCTTCTCTTAACCTTGCTGAAACCTTTCTGGTGAAAGTGGTGCATCACCTTGCTCCACATTGTTGTTAGTATGAGATATTCAGCTCCCTGATGGACCCTGTTAACACTGAGAGGGGAAGGGAAGTAGAAGGTTGACTCATACTGAGAGTGCAGTAACATCTCCACTGATGTTGATGTATAATGAGGGTGGAGTGTCATCTCCCTTAAAGGTCTCATTAACACAGTAAAGGGAGGGTGAAGTACAGTGGTGACTAGTCCTATCTTGCACTGCCTCTTGGTCTAACTTCTGCTGGGTTGGGGGAGTCTCGGCTCATCACTGGACCCTACTGACACTACACCTCCTCTGCAGGAGGAATCAGAGCATAACCTGTTTCCACTGGGCTGGTGATAGAAGATCAACTCCCTACTTGGTCCCCACTACCATATTCTGGCAGGGAAATCAGAGAACTGTCTACCCTGCTATGTGAGAGATGGAAGAATAGCTCCCTGATCACCCCACCAACACCACTGGCAGGGGGGATTCAGAGATCTGCCACCTGCTTCTGTCAGGTGGTAGGGGGTGAGGTGGAAGATCAGCTCCCTTCTTGGCTCTGCTGAAACTCCGGGAAAGTTAAGTAGTTTTCTCATTGGCATTTGGCTGGAGTAGGGAGGGTATGCCAAAAAAGGTTTTCTGTTCTGTTAGTCCACCCTTGTCTTGGGTCCTTTGGCAAGAGGGAACAGGCTTTTCTACGTGCTTTTCTTCTCTGCCTGTTGGTGGTTCCAGGTTGGAGGCTGGGTAAAATGGGAGACAAAAAGAAACCCAGGTAACTCACTGCCATGTCATTCCTCAAGTCCTGAAGTCCTAAGGCAGTCTGATTTCTTCTTCCTACCTTTCAGAGTCTTTCTATGCTTGTTTATTTTTTAATATAAACAAACAAAAGTCCAGGGATTTTTAATTGTGAGAGGAAAGATTCTGGAAGAACAGGGCTACTCCACCTTGGTTAGAACCAAAAGTCTTCTCAGTAGGAACACTTTTGAACTTGACAAACTCAGTGTAATATCTGGAGCAATTAATACATGAGCCAACAGAATAAAAAAGAAAAACAACATACAACCTTTCCTACTATACAAAAAAAGCACTATAACCATAATAGTATGGTGCTAGCAAAGGAACAGATGAACAGATCAATGAAACAACAGTTCAGGAAAAGAGAGATCTGTGTATGTGTATCTGTGTGTCTAGGCATATGAAAATTTAATACATGATACATGAGGCAATTCAAACCATAGGGGGAAAATATGGGTTTTTCAATAAATTGGGCTGGGGAAATAGATACATTTGGAAAATATTATGAAAGTTTAGTCATCTCATTTGTAAATAAAAACAAATTTATACCAATATAAATTACAAATATATTAAAGAGTTAATACTTAAATATCTCTATTTTAAATAAATTCAGCCAAGTGGCAGTATAAACTGGCTTAACTACCTTGGAAAACAGTTTGATTTCATCCAGAAAATATACATTACTAAAACTCAGGAATCCCATTCCTCAGTATATATTTCAGAGAAACTCTTACACAGGATATTTTTATAAGAATTTTATAGCATCATTTTTCATAATAGTTCCATATGGAAATAAGTTGAATATCCTTCAACAGAAGGATGTCTCAATAATTTGTGGCACAATGCACTATTTTACAGCAAAAAATAAAACAAACCAAAAACAACCCCCCCAAAAACCTTAGCTATAGACAACAACCTGATGAATCTCACAGTATTGAAAAAAAAGAAGCAAGGCACAATAGATTGAATACAATGCAACTCAATTCAAACAAAGTTCAAAGAGAAACAAAAATAAATTGTAATATTTAAGGATGTATACATATATAGTAAAACTAAATAAAAGAAAGGAACTGATAATGATCAAAATTCAGGGTATTGGGTGGAAGAGATGGTTGTGATTGGGCTAGGAATGTATTTGCTCTTTATCCCTTAAGGCTTTGGCAAGCAGCCATTCAATATGAGGTGATTTATGGTAAAAAATGTATGCTTAATTCAAACTATGTATGAACTAAATAATGATTTATGGTGCTAGAAACATTGTGAAAGATTACCACATCTGACAAAAATTGAATTATGCTTCATCAACCAATCATATCTTTTTAATAGTAAATGTACACATGCATATTTATTTATACATGGTATACTACAAAGAGTATATTTCAAATTTAGACTCAATTGTACTATTTAGGTAATTTAAAATTACTCATATACTAGCCAAATAAAATAAACATTACAACCAGATGTTTCAAATTTCCTCCAATCAAAACAAAAAGATATCAGCTGAAAATACTAATGGTGCCAAAAAATGTTGAAATATTTTATGACTGTTCTTCTTCCAACATTTTTGAAAGGAAGAATCAATTTCACATTTTTTTATGCCTCAGGCCTCAAACTCTCTAAAGCTGTTTTAGATACAGTAACAGTAACTGATGGAAAAAAATCACTATTACATGTCATCCATGAATCATGTTTTTTTTCAAGGAATCTCTTGAGGAGTAACTGTTAAAATTCTAGAATTAAAAAGAAAACACGGGCTTCCCTGGTGGCGCAGTGGTTGAGAGTCCACCTGCTGATGCAGGGGACACATGTTCGTCGTGCCCCGGTCCAGGAAGATCCCACATGCCACAGAGCGGCTGGGCCCGTGAGCCATGGCCGCTGAGCCTGCGCGTCCAGAGCCTGTGCTCAAAAAAAAAAAAAAAAAAAAAAAAAACACAATGAAAAACACTACTCCTTTAGAGAAAAGTCACTACTAAAAAATTGAAAACATTTCTGCTAATTAATTAAACTAATGAAAGAGTATATTTATCCTCTGTTTCTAGGATGGGCCTTCCCCAAGGCAACAGTTTTGGGCCACTATTATGATCTCATATAGCTCTTTTAGGCAATTCCACTAACTAGCATGGCCTCAGCTAACTTTTGCATAATGACAAATCTCAGAATCAACTGAAAGAATTATCTTTCTTTTGAGTTACAAGCTGATTTACCCAATGGCTTAGTGGATATATGGTTATCTAAGAGGAACCTCAAATTCAATAAGTCCAAAACTTACCCTATTTCCTCTCAAACTTACTCCTTGTTTTGTATCTCCTCTTTAGGTTAACAGCAACACAATCTACTCAGATTCCCAAGGCAGAAACCTAGGTCAACCTTTCCATCTTCCCTTAAATATCCAATAAATCACCAAGTATTGCTGATTCTATTTTCTTAAATAATATTTCTTGAATCTGAGTTTTTTTTCTTCAGCCTCACTGTCACTGTTTTAGTTCAAGTTTCAATCGTTGCCTATATTCCTGCAATCTGGTCTCCTTCCTAATAGATGGAACCTCTTCTCCACTGAAATAATTTTTCTCACTCATCAAAGAAAAACCTAATAAAATCACCAACCTGATTATGCCACTTTCTTTCTTAAAATCACATAATGGCACCCCATAGTTTTCAGTTTAAAATCCAAATTTCTTAACATGGCATAAAGGCCCAATGACAATCCTACATCTCAACAATCTTTATTTTACAGGTGTGATCTATCTGGTGTCATATTATCTCCTATTTATGCATTCACAAGTGCCTCTGCTTCTGTACAGAATTCCAATTTGCTTAGTACACCTCTTGGAAACATTTTGCTGATTACCTTTTTTGAATGACCAAGTGTCCTTCCTTCTTATGTATTTCATAGAATACTTTGTTTACCTTTATCACTTAACACATATTGCAACTGTAGTATAACACAGAGCACCTTTAAGCACCACAAAAAATTAATTTCAACAAGCTCACCTTTATTAATTCCCATTTTATCTTCTGAAAAATGAGAGATATGGATTAGACATAAGGTTCCTCTCAGCCACACTACTTTATGAATTTATGTCAAGTTGGAAAGAGTCTCTTGACACTCCTGACTTTTTTCCCCCACTTGCTGCTAGAATACAATCATGGTATTAATTACTGGTGTTGTCCACACAGAACACCTGAGATACTGAAAGTAACAGTATAGAACATAAACATGAATTTAACTTATTTAAAAATAATGTAACCAAGTTTAGTAACTATTTACTAAGATGTGAATTTATTGAACTTGATTTAGAAAAGTTTGATCAAATCAAACAACAATTTGTTGAGATCTTTACATGTACTGTTAAGAGGCTCAACTCGTCTTGTTTACCCTTGACTATTGCTATCAAATTGTTAAATTTTATTCATGGAAAAGACTAAGTTCAGTTCTCTTTAGACTGTAAACTGCTTTTAGGAAAGGGCCACGTGTTATGCTAGAAGACTAATAGTGCACAGGATTTAGGAAAATGTTAGAGACAGAAAATTGTAACAATGCTGTAATATTCAAAGAATAAGGTTAATTTTTCATTTATTGTACAGTAAATTTTAAATTGAGATTGACCTACTGTGTTATCAAAGGAACCAAGAAGTATATACAAGAAGACTAATATTATTTATAACTGGTGAAAGATTATAGGGGAAAGAAATTAAAACAAGGTTTTAAAAAGTCCATGATGCATACTAATGCTTATAAAGTGCTTTCTTAAGTAACTTTTCAATGAATTTTACAAGAAAGGGTTGCTTTCTTGATTTTCCTAACATGTATTGATGATGGTAGATGAAATATGATGACGATTATCTGATATGTATATTTTAATTCAAACAGGATAACTGGGAATTAAATGATGCCCTAACACCACCAAAGATTCAATAGGATAAAGAAAAAACAATTATTTGCCCACCTTCCCACTGAGACACTGATTCTTTGTAGAGGTGAAAAACGCCATACTATACCTTGATTTCTTCTATTTCATCTGGTACTATCTTGTATGCTGATATAGTCCCACCCAACCTGAAATTAGGAGAAAAAAATATTCTCAAAACCAGCAACAGTGTATTAAAAATATGGACTATTTCTGCCATCAGCATCAGAGTGCCACCAGTAATTGCCCATTACCCACCCCAATAACCATGGAGGAAAAACAACCATTTTGTGCACAGGTTTTCCATATAGTAGTTTAAAAAGGTAGGCAGTGAGTGACTACTGGAAGAGGAAACGTAAGTTAGATTTTTAACCATAATTAAACTTCTCTTATCGATGGTTTTAATGATGCTCAAACTGTCACTTTTACTGATAGATTCTGTCACAACTAAGATGTATCAAGAACAATAGCAGACATTTCTATTTTCATGTCATCATGAAACACAGCTAGGTTTAGAATACCTATCAATTTAACATACCATCAGTATTCTATAGTATTGTACTCAGGAAGACTGATTCCAAATTTCATGTTCTTTCCCTTACAACACACTGCTTTCCTCACTAAAGGAATCATTCTAGAGGTAAAGTGCTCTTTTACTCTAATCAATATATAAAAAGTGGTATTACATTGGCAGTAACACTAGTAGTTATAATAGTAATACTACCACTAGTAGTATACTGAGTATTTACTATACGCTCAGCATTAAATTGTCAGGTTTTATATGTTTTGTTCTCATTTAACTCTCATAACCTATAATAAGAATTATGAAAAAAATGAGATAAGCAATTTTTCAAAGGTCCCACAACTAGGAGTGGCAGACTGGGCTTAAGAACTCACTTCCAGAAACTGATAAGCAAATTCTAAAATTCATATGGAAATTCAAGGAACACATAACAGTCCAAAAATCTTGAAAAGAAGAAAGTTGGAGGAGTTACACTTTCTGATTTCAAGTCACTACAGATCTACAATAATCAAGACAATGTGGAGCTGGCATAAGGATAGACATATAAAGCAATAGGGTACAACTGAAAGTCCAGAAACAAACATCACATTTATGGTCAACTAGTTTTTGTTTTCCTTTTTATTTTATTGTAATAAATATAGTTAACATTTTAACCATTTTTAAGTGTACAACTAAGTAACAATTACATTCATAATGATGTGCAACCATCATTACTATTTATTTCCAAAACTTATCCATAACTTAAACAGAAACTCTGTAATCATTAAGGAATAACTCCTAATTTTCCCCTTCCCCCAGGCCCTGGTAACTCCTAAACAACACTGTCTTTACGAATTTGACTACTCTAGGAAACTCACATAGAGGAATCACACAATATCTGTCCTTTTGTGTCTGGCATATTTCACTCAGCATAGTTCTCAAGCTTTATCCACATGGTAGCATATATCAGAACTTCATTCCAGTTTTATGACTGAATAATATCCCATTGTATGTATATACCACATTTGTTTACCCATGCATCTGTTAATGGACACTTAAGATTGTTTCAATTTTTTGGCTACTGTAAACAATGCTGCAATAAACATTAGCATACAATATCTGAATCTCTCCTTTCAGTTCTTTTGGGTACATGCCTAGGAGGTGGAATTAATCATATGGTAATTCCATGTTTAGCATTTGAAGGACTGACAAACAGTTTTCCACAGTGGCTGTATGATTTTACACTACCACCAAGAATGCATGATGGTTCCAATTTATCCACATCTTCATCAATACTTGTTAATCTATTTTTTTAATGGCTACCCTAATGGGTGTAAACTGGTAACTTATAGTTTTGAGACTTGCATTTCCTTAAAAAGCAGTGATATAGAGCATGGGTCCCCAACCCAGGAAACAGTGGGCAAGCGATGGGCAAGTGACTAAAGCTTCATCTGCCACTCCCTGTCCCTCGAATTACCAGCTGAACCGTCCCACCCTGCCCTGTCAGTGGAAAAATTGTTTTACATAAAACCTGTCCCAGGTGACAAAAAGGTTGGGGACCACTGCTACAGAGTATCTTTTCATGTTCTTATTGGCCATTTGTATATCTTCTCTAAAGAAATATCTATTCAAGTGCTCTGGCAATTTTTAAATTGGGTTGTTTGTCTTTTTGCTGTTGAGTTGTAGTTTTTCATATATTCTGGATATTAAACTCTTACCTATGATATTATTTCCAAATATTTTCTCTCATTCTGTAGGCTGTCTTTTAACGTTCTTGATAATACCACAAAAACTTTTAATTTTGGTGCCGCACAATTTATGTATTGTTTTCTTTTCATGCTCACCTTACTGGTGTCATGCATAAGAATCCATTGCCAAGCAGAAACTAACACACCACTGTAAAGCAATTATACTCCAATAAAGATGTAAAAAAAAAGAATCCATTGCCAAATCCAAGGTCTTGAAGATTTATCCTTATGTTTTCTTCAAAGTGTTTTATGGTCTTAGTTCTTCTATTTAGAACACTGATCTGTTCTGAGTTCATGTTTGAATATGGTATGAGATATGGGTTCAAGTTAATTCTTTTCCATGTGGAAATCCAATCATTTAGCAACATTTGTTGACAAGCTTTTTCTTTCCCAAAGCTGTTGTCAAAGCTTTGACTTAGCACCCTTGTCTAAAATGAATTTTCCATAGACACGGGTTTATTTCTGGATCCTTAATTTTATTCAATTGGTCTATAGGTCTATCTTTTTGTGGTTCTCGGCATAGAAGTCTTTTACCACATTGGTTAAATGTATTCCTAGGCATTTATTTTCAGATGCTATTTTAAATGGCGTAGCTTTTAATTTCCTTTTCAGATTGTTTATTGCCAGTGTATAGAAACAAGTAATTTTCATGTGTTGATCTTGTACCCTGTAACTTTGCTAAACTTGTTTATTTTTTTTAAATTAATTTATTTTATTTATTTTTGGCTGTGTTCAGTCTTTGCTGCTGTGCGTGGGCTTTCTCTAGTTGCAGCAAGCAGGGGCTACTCTTCGTTGTGGTGCGTGGGCTTCTGGGCTCTAGACACACGGGCTAAAGTAGCTGTGGCATGCAGGCTCAGTAGTGGTGGCTCAAGGGCTCTAGAGCACAGGCTCAGTAGTTGTGGTGAATGGCCTTAGTTGCTGCATGGCATGTGGGATCTTCCCGGAGCAGGGACCGAACCCGTGTCCCCTGCATTGGTAGGCAGATTCTTAACCACTGCGCCACCAGGGAAGTCCCTGAACTTGTTTATTGACTCTAGTAACTTTCTTGTGGATTATCTATATACAGGATCATATTATCTGTGAATAGAGATAGATTTACTTCTCACTTAACAGGCTGGATGCCTTTTATTTCTTGTCCTTGTCTAAACACTCTGGCTAGAACTTCCAGTTAATGTTCACTATCAGTGGTGAAAGCAGGTATCTTTGTCTTGTTCCAGATATAAAAAGAAAGCTTTCCATTTTTCACAATTGAACATGGCGTTAGTTGTGGGGTTTTCAGAAATGCCTTTTATCAGGTTAAGGAAGTTCCCTCTGTTCCTAGTTTTCTGAGTGTTTTTACCATGAAAAGAATGCTGGATTTTTGTTAAATGCTTTCTCTGTGTCAAATGACATGATCATGTGGTTTTCTGCTTTTCAATCTTTCTATTAATGTGGTATTATTGCAGTGATTAATTTTCTTATATTGAACAACCCTTGAACACCTGGGGTAATCTCACTTGGTCGCTGTGTATAATTCTTTTAATATGTGGCTGCATTCAGTGTCGTAATACTTTCCTATTTTGCATCTATATTCATAAGGGTTATTACTCTCTAATTTTTCTTTCTTCTGGATGTCTTTATCTGGCTTTGGTAGCAAGGTAATTCTGGCCTCATTGAATGAGTTAGAAAGTATTTTCTCCTCTTCTGTTTTATGGAAGAGTTTGAAAAGCATAATGCTAATCCTTTAAATGTTTGGAATAATTTACCAGTGAAGTAATCTGGTCCTAGACTTTTCTTCGGTGGGATTCTTTTTTTTTTTTTTGTAATTAATTTTTATTGGAGTATAGTTGTTTTACAATCTTCTGTTTGGTGGGAGGTTTTTAATTGTGGAAAATCTGTTTACTTGTTACAGATCTCTTGAGACTTTCTATTTATTTTTATGTCAGTTTAGGTAATTCACATGCTTCTCGGAATTTGTCTATTTCAACTAGGTTACCAAATTTGTTGGCATACAACTGTTTAGAGGATTTTTTATAATCATTTTTATTTCTGTAAGATCAGTAGTAATATTCATGTCTTTATTTCTGATTTGTTTTTGTGCTTTTTCTTTTTCTTAATCAATCTAGCTAATGGTTTGTCAATTTTGTTAACTTTTTCAGAGAACAAACTTTTGCTTTTGTTGACTCTGTACTGCTTTTCTGTTCTCTATTTAGCTCCACCTTAATCCTTATTATTTTCTTCCTTGATCTTTTCTTTTTACCCTGCCTCCCTCCCTTCCTTACATTAATTGTCTTATGTATTTAAACTGATTTTTTTTCTTTTTCTGTAGTGAATCATTTTAATTCCCTTGTCATTTCCTGTTTTACATCTTTTAGGTATTTTTTTGGTGGTTACCATGAGGAATACATTTAATATTCTAAATTTATAGCAATCTAGTTGATTGATAACAACTTAAATCATTATATGAAATGTCTGCTCCTATACAAGGCTATCCTCCTACTTTTATGTTGTTGTCATAGCTAAGTTTGCTAGTTTTGGAGTTAGTTTTCTCTTTTTCTTTAGTCCTTCAGGGTATAAAGTACTGTATTTATCGAGGATGTTTCTTTCTTTTTGATGTGGACATTTATAGCTATATATTTCCCTCTGAAGAGTGCTTCCACTGCATTCCGTAAGTTTTGGTATGCTGTGTTTTTGTTTACATTTGTCTCAAGGTATTTTCTAATTAACCTTGTGATTTCTTTTTGAACCACTGGTTAAGAGTGAACTGTTTAGTTTCCATATATTGTGAATTTTCTAGTTTCCCTCCATTTTTGTTTGCTAGCATCTTTCCAATGTGGCCAGAGAAAATACTTGGAATGATTTCAATCCTTTTAAATTTACGGAGACATTTTTTTTGTGTCCTAACATTTGGCTCATCCTA